GCGTGGTATGGCTGGGCACAGTAATGTTCTGCAAATTGCCAAAGATAGTTCCTGGCATTTGAAGTGAGGGATTAAGGACAGATGAGAGTTTATTGGAACAGGGAGTTCAGTTACAGAAGTGCCTTGTCTTTGATGTTGTGATGTGTCACAGTCAATCCTGCCATCATCTCTTTTTTCTCCAGGGCACATTCGTATGCCTGTTTCCACAGTTGGGAGGCATACAATTGTATCACATCACTATCTGTGTCATGAAGCTTGTCTACTGTATTACATGATCATCTTGTATTTCTGTCACCACGCCTTGGCTGATGCCCCAGGCAGTGTTTGACATGTATAAAAGAGCTGAGGGCTTCACAGCTCTTTGTACAAATTCCTCTGCTTGACTCTCCTGTTCAAACAGGTAAGTTAAAGTCCTACATCCTTCTTTCCTTCTTCAGCTGTTTCTTTCTCAACACCTATTTTGATGCCTTTTCTATCACCCTTTCATAGTGAAAAGTTAGGATGTGATGGTGTCCTTTCAGAGACAGGGAAATGATGAATATTTGAACTTGTAGGTGTGATGCTACATGTATACCAATGCACTGTAGTGTCTTGCGAGCTTGGCAGTTTCCTATATGCTTTAGACAAGGAAAGTTTTCCTGTCTCCTATGGGCAAGTCAGGTCCAGGGAGCATGGAGGAGAGCAAGGGGTTTACATGTCAACTGTGGAATGGCTTTCTGCTCTGAGTGCCTCAGATGATCCAAGAAATGTCCTCGAGCAGAGGATCCAAGTGCAAGAGAGTGAGGAGGGATTTGGCATCGAGCCTTGTACTGCACCATAACTCTGCCTTGTCTTGCAGCTTGACCTCTCGAAGAGAAGAATGTCTTGCTCCAGCCTGTGTGCACCCTCCTGTGGGGTGGCTGCCCCATGCCCCCTGGCTGACACCACCAACGAGCCCTGCGTGCGTCAGTGTCAGAGCTCCTCGGTGGTGATTCAGCCCCCAGCTACAGTGGTCACCTTCCCCGGGCCCATCCTCAGCTCCTTCCCGCAACACAGCGTGGTGGGCTCAGCGGGAGTCCCTGCCATTGCTGGTGGCTATGGCGGCAGTTATGGAGGCTATGGTGCTTATGGAGGCTATGGTGGCTATGGAGGCTATGGTGGCTATGGGGGCTATGGAGGCTATGGGGGCTATGGGGGCTATGGAGGCTATGGTAGCTGTGGAGGCTATGGAGGCTTTGGTGGCTACGGAGGCTTTGGGGGCTGTGGATATGGCGGCTGGGGCCGAGGCCTTAGGTCCTTCGGTGCCAGCTGTGGGAGATGCTAAGCCCCATCTGGTGCCAGCCACAGGTGACAGAGAGCTCCTGGAAAACCCCTGGTACATCCCAACATGATGATGCCCAAAGGAAGAACATCCCTTCAGCACTGCTGGGATCCAGAGCTTGGACGCCTCTTGTCTATTGGAGACCAACGCTGCCTTCATCCTGCCCTGCTTGAGCATTCTTTCAAGACTGGTTTCCCCCTGATGACACAGACCCTCACTGGGTACCTGCTCCTCTGGCAGGACTGATCCTCTTTGTATCTCTGCCCGCTGTCAGGAGACATGGCCGGCCCTTGGTTGGGGCCCTGCTCTTCTCCCAACTCCTTCCGCCCCTTAAACTGCAATAAAAACTGTGTTGCCTCTCAGTGTTGACCCTTGATTTTTCTTGAGCCTTTCTTCTTTCCCACTTGCCCCAGGCTTGTGGGTGTGTTGGTCTGTGCTGCTTGGAAGTCCCACGGTAGTTCTCTGAGAGTATTTTTCTACTGATGGTGCTCTATTATGTGGAGACCTCACAGCAGCCTTCCAATATCTGAATGGGGCCTATAAGGGTGCTGGAGAGGGACTCTTCATCAAGGGCTGTAGCAATAGGACAAGGGTTAATGGATTAAAACTTAAATAGGGCCAATTCATGTTAAATATAAAGAAAAAGTTCTTCCCTGTGAGGGTGCTGAGGCGCTGGCACAGGGTGCCCAGAAAAGCTGTGGCTGGCCCATCCCTGCAGTGTTTGAGGCCAGGGTGCGCACAGGGGCTTCGAGCAACATAGGCTAGTGGGAGGTGTCCCTGTCCATGGCAGCTGTTCGAACTAGATGATCTTAAGGTACTTTCAAACACAAACCATTCTATGGCTCTATGATTATCATCCAGGATGGCTCGTATAGAACATTTCCCAGGGAGCTTCCTCTGGTCCCTCTCCAGCAATAAAAACAATACATTCCCAAAGCCATTCGGGAGACGTGAAAGCACCATAGGGGTCCTGCGTCAGCTCTACCAAATCCTCTGCAAAACTGGTATTGTGCTATTGCCTCCATTTATTGGCTTTGTACTGGTCACATTGGCAGGTCCAGAAAAATGGAGAGGAAAATCCATGCATGTACAGGACTGCTGCCATGTGCATGGCATGTTCTGGTGCCCAGTCAGAGGCGGAGACTACTCAAAGGGTGTGATGTGACACAACCAAGTCATCCCAAGTGTCCTCTCAGAGCCATGATTTGTCTCTGGGTACCCAAGTCACATGAAGCATAAAGCTCTTTGAGAGAGAGGCTGCTCTGCTGACCCTGCTGAGGTCCCTCCCTTCCCCAGGTAACTTCCGATCGTGACATCCCAGCACTGCACAGTGGTCTTGCACACAGACAGTTCCAGCAAAGGCCATCAGGAAGGGCAATGTGGCAGCACACTGGTCACTTCTGAGGAGCCCAGGTGAAGAGATGTCATCTGTCCCATATCTATGCAGGTTTCCCTGCACTTTCTCTCAGACGTCTTCCATGTGGTGGCTCATGTGGTGCCCCCTGTGTGTCTGTTGAGGGTACCGTGGTGGAAGGGGGTTTGGGTACTTTTAAAGGCATTTGACAACATGGGCTATTTTGTGAGCTGGTGTGTGAGGAAGGGCAGGAAAAGGCCAGGAAAGTCTGTTTCAGAGCAGGGGGGATCTAGGAAGACCTCCTGTTGCTCCTGTGCAGAGCCGGGTCTGCACGCTGAGGG